ATGATACCGATAGAAATTGGTATCGATTATAATCAGTAGAAGTTTACGCAGTTCTTTTTTGCTCGTGCCGCATTCTCGATCAATCTCTTTCGTTTTTCTTCAAATATTTCATCTAGTCATTATCTGGATGCCAGACATAATTTTCTATGATAGTAATTAGCCGTCTCTCGTTTGAAGCGATAAAAGGAGAGTTCATTGGAAAATTGCACAATAACTTAACGATGTGCAAACACTTTTTGTAGCCGCTCTAACTTTATTACAAATGAAGACACACAGGAGGCTATACTATAGTGGCCATTGATACAACCGTGCGCGCATACAAAGGAGGGTATTTATATTCCAGTCGAAAGATTTTCTCGTTGCCGTGGTGGATTAAAGGACTTTAATATTCATGCCTGTGAATTTCCTCCCCTCGAAAATAACAGAAGCCCTCGGCGGGCAACACCGACGTGGACTCCTTTAAGGGAAACAAGGCACGTCACTGTGCAGAACGATGCGTTTTACTTTACTTTACGCGCATCGTCGGCACGTGCGTTTTTGCCACCGCGGCTTCCGGTCCGGTTTCTAGACCCAGCCGGCCTCATCTCTCGGCTCTCTTATAACCCTTCATCAAACCCGACGCACGAGGTAAAATTAAAACACTTCTTTCGACCGAGGGTTTTAAATTATAAGAATTTTAAAGTAAACGTGTGCGCTGTTTCCATCTTAATTAGTAAGGATCTCCACGTGTGTACCTTCACTTAGTATTCATTTGTAGCATTGGTGCGTATATTATCCACGCCCACAGAATGTAGTATGGAATCGTTCAGAGTCAAAGAACGGTTAATTGAGATAAACATTTGATTTATATTGTTTTTAAAACGTTCATGTCTCAGTATGAATACTTAGTGGCAAAAGATTAAAACACCTACGGTAAACGAAGAAGAACCATGAATATAGAAAGATAATTAAGTAACGTTCTGTCGTCATTAACCGCTATATTACAGATGGAATACAGAGATAAGGGGTTATTACAATGTAACAAATCTTGAAACTAGAACCTATATGAAGATATTGCCATCTTCTAACTTTATAATTAGTTTTATCAGTACAATTTCATCAACGTTGCAATTACATCTAAGAAGAACGTGTCCTTTAAGTCGTTTTAATACATTTGAATACATTTACATACACTTATCTTTATATTCGTCTCCTCTATTACTTCTGATTCTGGTTATAATTACCTAAGTTCTTCCATCGATATATATTAGAACTCAATAATTTTTGCAGAGGAAAAAAGTTGACAATAATTTCGAATCTCGGTATTGTAAAGAAAGATAGAAAGAAAAAATATCAGTAATTTCGCGCGTATTTATAGCTTTCGTTTTCAATGGAAATCGTTTGCTGAGTATCGTCACGGTTAATAACAACGCACGCACTCTCAAGAGAAAGAGAATAAAATGTTATACGTACTACGTGTTTCGAATATCGATGGCTTGCATCTACTTACGAATTACAACGTGACTCATGTTCGCATGTATGCGTATATGGTTGCAATTAGCGGTGGATCGCGCGAAACATCGTTTCACCCTCCCTATACTTATTCAGCTGACTGAGTTGCGTTCACAGTGAACAACGTTTAATTCATCCCGGAGCCGATGGATCTCGCCTGTAATCGATGCCTTTCGCCGAATTAAAGGGCAGACCGACAGGGTATCATTAAAAAATGTCTCTATACGTTCGCGTCCTTTCCTCTCTCTCTTAAATTGTACAAACATTCTGAAAAGATTGCTCTTTCGACTGATGACAGATTATTTATTTATTTCCAATGACAGTTCAAATAAAATTATTCCGTATCTAAATAGAACTCGAACAAGACTCGTCGGGTAGAAATAAGACGACCTAAAAGCATCTAGCAGAGAATTTTTAATGTCGAAAGTGTCGATAACGCTATCGTGGCTGGTTTCTCGATATACGACTCTATTATTTTTCATGCTGCATATACAACCGAGTACGTCCTACGCGATGTACGTCTGATTAGTAAAAATTGGCGCTGATTTACTTCGTACAATTAGGAACAGCGTACAGGATTCGTCGTGAATCGAGGCGAATCGTAATAAAACCGCGAAAGAGAACGGTGAAAGATGATCTACGAGCTGGTCGTTCACAGTCTCCTGTATGTATATTAGTATGTATATCAGTATGTATATTAAGGAGGACGGTGGGAAGTTCTATACGATCAGAGATCAATAAATTACCATTTTTTCAAGTGATCACGTGTTGCGAACATGGTACAGAGTAATATTTGAACAGTAATTTGTTAGGCTTCGAATTTCATTGTTCAAACAGGACAATATTTGATTGATACCGATGATTATGATTTATACCCGGCGTAAACTAATTTTTATCAATGACAAATTGCCGACTGCCCGCGCCGAGACACGGACCCGACCACGTAGATGCGTCTGTACGCGTTGGCGTCGCGTGCCGTTGAAACGTAAACTCGTAAATCGCTGACATCAGGAGCGACGATCGGCCGTGGGACGTTTATTAAACGTAGGAGTTGGAACGATCGCGAGAAGAACAGATTAAAGTGCGAACGATGTACATACATCCACTTGTTCCACTGCTCCAATCTATCGAGAGTAAATCCATATCGTACCAAAGTTTTATAGAATCAGTAGATTCTTTTAATTAAAATCATATTACATATATGTTGCGACAGAGTTATCTCGCGCTTAATTACCGTTTCCGGTAGACACAGCGACGCAGAGCATCTGATCTCATGTGAGAATGTCTCTGAATTGAATTCAGACTAGCTCCTTTTCCACGAAGATTAATTACCGTTCTCGTCTCATGTATCTGATACGATCAAATTATAAGTCATTATTTTATGTCTGATTTTCGTATGTAATTTAGCGGCGAAAGCCAAAGGAATATTCGGGGCCCGTTTGAACGAAATGCTCGAGGAAAGTGTAAAGTTGACGCGTATGTGGGCTGCGTTTATGAGCATATCATGCGTGTCCGGTGTAATAAAGAAATATATTTCTGCGGATACGCACGGCACCTTCGGTGGTGGTAGGTGAAGCAGTATAGCGATCGCATTAGAGCCGCGCGTGGGAGCGCATCACGTATTTACGATCGGCCGAGATCTCGCAAGGGATTTACCGGTCTTTCTTGGTAGCTTCGAGATTTCTGTGTAATACGAACAACGCTATGACTAATACCGTGAAACAGGCGTGCTCTAGACCGTGAACGTAACATTAGCGAAGAAATACCAATCTAATCTAAAGATTTAGAATTGTTTCACAGGTGTTTCGTTTAAAAGGAATTTACTCGATTTCACGATTAGACGTTGTTTCGTTTTACGGGGTTGTTCAAAAGCACCGAACCTTGAGGATCGACTTGTAGAGTGAGACTCGAGGTTGACATACCGACAAAAGGGGAACGTCGCGTCGCACGTCTGCCAACGTGCAATCATCGTTACGAGCGTGAAAGCTCGCTGTTCCGAGTCCCGCGGCACGAAGCGGAAAAGTTATGACAATGAAGACTCAGGGTACCCCGGGTCCAAGAAAATTACCGTTCGCCGCTTTATACGAACGGCATAATTTCTCTGATATTACGCGTGGAAACGTACCTCACCTACGCGTCCTCTCATCCATGTTTTTCTAATTTCCCTCCACTAGCCTTACGTCGGCTAAATTTCGTCCTTATTACGTTCCACAGCAAAGCTCGTGCTCAAATTTCTTTAATAAATTGATTCAAGACGCTTATCGTTTGTAGCAATACGTTCGAAAACTAATACTGAGAAACGAGTTGTTTCAAGACGATGTATAATTTTTAAAGGTCTCCTCCTCTGACCTCATGGAGTTTCTCCCCTTCGTTATTTCCGTTCAGCCTCTGTCAAATGATCACTTATCATTTACTGGAATCGATTGAAACAGTTGGTGGTTACAATACAATAAACGCACCCCGTCGAGCAGAAAATTACAACGGAGGAAGATACGTGCGTCGTGATATTTGTGCAGCCAGAGGCCGGATACGTGAAATTTCCTCTTTTCCCGTGTATTCTTCCCTTTTTCCCCTTGTTATTATACTCATTCTTCTTTGCGAAAAGTGAACAGAAAAATGACAAGAGCGGCGTACGTGTGGGCTGTATTGTGGGTCAGCTCGCCTACGTCTCGGAGATGAAGTTGGACGCGCATCCAACGGCGACGAGACGTTTCCTTGCGAAAGTGCTCGATAGGTTCGAATAAATAATGAAGCAAGCTCCCCGTACAGAGATAGAGCGCGACACACTTGCGCACAAACAAAAAGGAAAACCTTGATTCACTCTCAAATTCCTGAATTCATTTCGTCCCACAATCAGTCTGTCAAATTGATACAATGGTAGAATACTAAATTAAGAAAATATCATTTTCTGTATAAGATGATTTTGCGCAACTTTAGAATTATTTTTGACACGTCCCTTGAAAACCATGAGACGAGAAGCTCTAGAGAAGCTTCTGCTTTAGATTTCATCGGATGTCTAATTAAACGAGAGTTAATGAAACCAGAAACTCAATCTCCATCCAGACATGGCAGTACTTGTGCTTGAGAAGGTCGTTGTACTATGAGTAGGATTCTAGCCCTTTCTATTTTCGTCGAAATCGCTCGTTGAATCATCATCGCCTGTAGATACTCGCTACGCATGGCCACTCGACGGAAGGAAAAAATGAATTATCGTTTCACCATTGAACAGCAGGATGGAAAATTAGATTGCCTGGATCGATACGCGGAAGATAGCTCTCTCGGGCCTCGGGCCTCGTCCACTCGACGTTATCCAACTTGCACGTTTCCGTTTCAAAAGCTTTTTGATAAAATATCAGTACGTCGAGGAGGCTTGCTTAATTGCGTTTTAAATCTGATCAATCTTATACAGGGAGCGAACCGCGATATTTTTAGCAATATTAATTTGTATACTTTAATAATTGCTTGTACTTTTTTTTACTATAATTCCTATCTCCATTTCTCTGTTACAGGCTCACGTGGTGTCAGCTTTCGAGCAATCTCTATCCAACATGACACAACGTTTGCAGCAACTCACCGCAACAGCCGAGAAGAAGGTGAGCGTTTCATTACCAATATAATGTTTTTGGTATTACTTTCTACAACGGAATCACCAAATTGCATAATGAGAAAAAAAAACAAATCACTTCTAATTCCGTCGAATGAATTTGTATCTTAATCAAAAGATTCGCCACAGTTTAAACATGAAGTCTTTGACAATACACCGATAAGAGAAAATTTTTCGGAATATTCCCACTCCCATCTCCGATTACTTCGCAGTTTCCGCAGATTAACAATGCTACATCTTAAACCCTACAGAAATGAGCAAACACCCCTCTCTGTATTTTGGTTTCATCTATAAGTTAACCTAAGTAATTACAACCTTTTTGAATACACTTGGTTAAAAAAAGACTTATCGTCACCCACGATGCAAACGAATCAGAGCTTAAACAGGACGGTCGACCGCTTGTTACCACCGAAACATCCGACACATAATCAAAGACTAGAACGACCAGGTGACATGAAATTCATGCAATTTCTATCTGCGTACCCTGATAATAAAGCGCAGCTAGTAAACGGTATGATCATGATTCCCATCCCCCCAGAAGACGCGAAAGCGCTTGGTCTTCGCGTACCAGACTCCGACAATTTCTCCATGAAACCGAACTCGACGTCGTCCAGGAGCTCCGCTGAGTTGTCCAGTTCGAGGTCACGCAGGAAACGATCGAACGACGATACGAAATCGAAGCGGGATCAGAAACGTCACCACAATACCGAGGTGAAACTCACGAAGAAGCTTCTTGACCTTAAGCAAGAGCAAAAAGCTCAGCGAGCTCCCACGTTGGAGAGGCTGACCAATTTCCAAGCGAAATTGGAACGCGGATTGAAAAATATCTCGCATAAAACTAAAGTACGGCCGAAGGCGAATTCGTACGGCGAAAAGGACTCGGACGTTTTGCAATCGAACGCGCCGCGGCGGCGTCTTTTGGCCGCCGGCAAACAGAAAAAGAGCTCGAGTTCGTCTCACGACGAAAAGCCGGGAAAGCTTAAGAAAGAGTCGAGCTCGAAATCCACGAGACAATTGTTCAGCACGGCTGAATCGTGGAGCAACGACTCTGTGGTCAGTCATTCGGACAACTGTGCCTGCTGTCACAGCCGGGAACCCTGCCCCTTTCACGGCAATGAATTCTTCGGTATAAAATGAAGATTACGCGGTCGTCTAAAAACCATTCGAACTAATACGCGTAAATTGATTGAAACTAACGCGTCGGAATACATATTATATATAGGATGTCTGAGGTATTTTTGAATTGGAAAGCTGAAAAGGATTATAAATTACGCGATGCATTTTATTGTATTTTCAGAACTAATGGAAATATAAAAGGAAGAATTTTTATGATATGTGATCGATTTTTTTAAAAGGGGAATCTCAAATTCTTATCTTTCGTGATTATTTTAATAACGTTTTACAAAATGTCATTTTTATTCGTCATCGATTTTATCAAGCATGCCATTGTAATTAAAAATATAGCAGGTACACGATTTAAAATTGGTCTTATAAGACTTTATTTTATTGAAATACCTGATGTTTCTTTAAATTTTAAAATTTTTGTCAAGGTATTCAATAAAGGAATTGCTGTCCTAACTTATGTGCTTCCTTGGTTTAAAATATCTTGGAAATAGTAGCTTTATTTTATGCATTAAGAAATTTGGAGAAATTAACTGAAGAGAAATAATATAAATAAACGAATCATATAATTAGGACACGAAACGTCATGAAAGATTTATTAACGAGTTCTCTCCATATTATTTATGGCATTATCAGGTAGATGAAAGTAACTATCTTAAACAAATCCGAAAGAAGTTCGAGATAGATACGATTATTAGAAATATAAATATTTAGAGCTGCCACAAATTTCGTACTTTACTGCACCACATTTCCATTCTTCTCATCTAAAATAATAGGATAAAATGCCGAGTTTTGTGTAAGTATTTATAAATAGGGAAAGAAAGTTTGTTTCTACCATCCTTTCTCTAATATTGCATTGTTTTGGTATGCATATGAATCTCGAGAAAACGAGATAAATCAGAAAACGCAGAGTCACTAATGATACGTATGCGTGCATCCGACTTCCTTAACTTGCATAAGTACACCATTATCCGCAAATCGCAGAACAAAATTTCTCTCGTACCAGCTAGGAAAAGGAAATGGCTGCCACTTTTATGCAGATTGTCTTTCTACAGACCGTAGTTTGTATACGTGTGCAGCACAGAAGAAATTTAAGTCTCTTTAATGCTTCTTAAACTGGTTCTCTGTTTTTACTTAGTCAGAAATGTCGTCAACGATTAATACAAGGAGAATGCTTATTAAAACCGAGACGTTTGTTATCATTTTCAGGATTCCGAGCTTCAGGAATTGCGAGAAACGATCGAGAGGCTTCGGAAACAAAGCGCGGAGGCCGGTTTGAACAATGGGCCGGCTAATAACGGCCGTCGTCACACCCTTGGCGACTCTGACTCCGGAACCACTGGTTGCACCGGGAACAGCAGCCACCAGGGTCCCTCTATGGCGAGACAACTATCAGCGGACAGCGTCACGTCGTTGAATTCGTTGAGCAGCGCTTGTTCAGCCAGCAGTCATCACAAGAAGAAAGGCTGGCTTCGTAGCTCATTCTCGAAAGCGTTCTCCAGGTCGCGGAAGAACAGACATGGTTCCGTTTCCGACGCCGAGGACTGCAAAGAGACCACCGGTGGAGATTTAAGCGCGCCGAACAGCCCGCGATTACCGAACGCCTCTAAACACGATTCTCCTCGGGGTCAAGGTGCTAGAAGCAACGGGCAGAAATCGCCCGAAGTCGAGAATCCCTTGACTGGAAGCAAGAGCAGCTCAGCACTGTACAAAAAGGAGGACGAAGATGTCGTGGAGTTGAAGAAGCAGCTGAGGGAAAAGGATCTAGTGTTGACGGACATCAGGCTCGAAGCTCTGTCCTCGGCGCATCAGCTGGAGTCATTGAAAGACACTGTTATTAAGATGAGGGTACGTATATTTTTTAGTTTATTGGTTCATTGTGAAAGCTAGTTTTTAACAGATATCACTATTGAAATTTACTATATGATCTTTATACATTAGGGAAACGAAGTACATTGTTATATTAGCTTCGAAATGACATTTTCTTTACAGAACGAAATGCTGAATTTGAAACAAAATAACGAACGTCTACAGAGATTAGTGACATCAAAGTCTTTAACTTCTTCGCAATCCTCGCTGCCCAGTGATCCGGACAGACGTTTCAGTATGACAGAAGTGGCGTCCACCGTTGCCGCGCTGGCGAACGGCGATGCGAGTACAACAGCGGACCAGCTAGAAGACTTGAACGTGCCGGAACATTCTGTCGTATCGTCAACGACGACGACTACCGGAGAACCGGCTATGGAACAAGACACCGATGGGAAAAGAATCAATGTCGCTATTTATCTAGGCAACGAGAAAAATTTCAACTATAATCTTGTAAATGGAAGTACTTCCGATGGTAGCATCGGTGAACCGCCACATTGTGTAATTGCCAGCGTCTGCATCAGCAACAAAACCACGTGGGACTCCCTCGATTCCACTGTTAGACGTTGCTTCAAGGAATACGTCTCGAGAGTTGATCCTGTGACGAATTTGGGACTAGGAGTCGAATGTGTCGCCGCTTATCACCTTGGTGAATCTTCTAGGTACGTATTTTAATTTTCTTTGATCAAAGAAATGTATTAATTTTCTCTTAATACTCGTCGATCCAGATGCATCACGGATTCTCAGCATCCGGAGTTGCTTCCCTGCGGTTATCTGATCGGTCATGTGAAGACTATTTACTTGGTGCTTTCCGGCTACTCGTGGCTGGCGGTGGACACTTTAATTCCGCGATCGATCGTGCAACGATTGATATCTCTGTTGACCGAGCATCGCAGGGTCATTCTGTGCGGACCCAGTGGTACTGGCAAGAGCTATTTAGCCGGAAAATTAGCTCACGCTCTGGTCGATGCCGACAACGATACGAAAGATGCGACGGCGGTGGCCACGTTCAACGTGGATCACAAATCTAGCAAAGAACTCAGACAATATCTAGCGCACATCGCCGAGAGATGCGACTCGAACGCAGCCGACGAACTACCAAGAGTGATCATTCTTGAGAATTTACAACACGCTGCTTCTTTGGGAGAATTGTTCAGTGGTTTACTCGGTACCAAACATTCGTCTTGTCCTGCCATTATCGGTACCATGAGCCAGGCCACGTGCAGCACCACAAACCTCCAGTTACATCATAATTTTAGGTATACTTTCCTTTCCGTTTACTGTAAATTCTAATTCATTTACATCATATCGATACCTTGTATATGTGCTAATCTTTAATTAATTTGTTCTTAGGTGGGTGCTGTGCGCTAATCATATGGAACCAGTTAAAGGATTCTTAGGCCGCTATCTAAGACGGAAACTATTGGAGCACGAGTTACGCGAGAGCGGTGGAACTAGAAATGCGGAAATGGCTGCAGTCGTCGAGTGGTTACCCCGAGTTTGGCTACATCTCAATAAGTTCCTAGAAACCCATAGTAGCTCCGACGTGACTATAGGTAAGATGCTCGCATGCGAATAAATTATATACGAGCGAAATTAATATGCCATTAAGACGCTGAAACAAATGTACATTCTTCAGGACCGCGTCTGTTTCTATCTTGCCCGATGGAAGTAACTGGTTCTCAAGTATGGTTCACGGATTTGTGGAACTATTCCGTGGTGCCGTATCTTGTGGAGGCAGTCAGAGAGGGATTGACGCTTTACGGTAGACGCGTGAGCGGAAATGGAAACGGCGATTCCCCCTGGGAAGATCCAACTCAATTCATCACGTCGAGTTATCCCTGGATTTCCACGCACGCGGTTCACGGTGGTAGTGATGCTCTTCTTCGTTTACGGCCCGAGGACGTAGGCTACGATGTTGTTACATCTGGGCATGCATCCGGAGTTGGCGCATCGAGTGTCAAGAGTCTTGGCAGTACGCACAGCGACAACGAAGGAGATCCACTGGTCGGTACCTTTTTGTTCGTATATTATATATATTGCACAATGTTTTAAAAAATAATTGCAGAATCCCGCGATACAATGGTTAATTGCAATTCCTCGTTGTTTCAGCTGAACATGCTAATGAGACTACAGGAAGCAGCCAATTATTCAAGTCCTCACAGTAACGACAGTGACTCGATAACTTCCCTCGACTCGTCACATACGCGGCACTCCGAAGATTTGAGTTCATCGACATCCTCTTCGAGAGGCGTAGAGTCGGCGCTTTAATTAAAGGATATTACTGTCGTTAACGAAGATGAGATACAACTTCTAAATGTGAACATGTACGAGGTCAGTTTGTAACATCCAGTTTGAAGAATACTAATAACGATTCGTGCTCACTCGAGCGTGTACACCAGAGAGTTATAAAATTTGAAAGGATAAAATATTGAAAGAATCAAAAGTAAATTTTTGATACCTTTAGGATTACGAATCTTCTCTTTCTAACTTTTTACTGATGAAGGATATCAAACTTTATAACGAACGATCGAACTCTAAGCGAAAACTGAGATATTTTGCAGTACCGCGTGCTACTAAACTCTTTATAAAAATAATAATACGTCCTCCCGTTTGTTCTTACATAAAGTGAGCAGTGTGTGCGCTATAGAAGAGAGAAGAATCGTCGAGACAAATTTTTTCAACGCCTACAGCTGGCCTATATTTATTCTAGACTTTATGTGCGTGATGCACTTCGGTGTGATATGTAATTAATTAAGAAATAATTAGGCGATATTCTTCATTGTTCTTTCGATCATAAATGTACCGACGTATTGGAACGCGTTTAAGTACGTCGTCACTCGATGCAATAATCTACGCTGCCGTTAACGGAGTCTATTTTAACAGATATACATTTCTATGATCAAATCAACATACGATTTAAATGTATAGTTCGACGCGAGCTCTTTACTCGGTAAAATTTGGATGGAATATACAGTATTATCATAGGGCGTAAAACAAAAGAGCAAGACGAAAAGGAGGAGAGACAAAGGGCTTCGGACTGAGCCAAGATTCCGGGATCGAGGAACCACGATTCCTCTCGTCCACTACTTTCAGGTAATAGCTTATCTTATTCGATATGACACAGATCTCATGGACGATCCGCTCAACGAAGCATTGTTTCGCCTTCAGAAATCCAGCGCAGTTTGAAGAGAAAGAGAAAGGGAGAGTGTACGTACTGATGGGTGTGTGTGCAAAAATAGTCTATTTATACATACTTTGCTACGAAAGCTCTATTTAATTATAAAAAAAAATATTAATATAATAATATATATATATGTATACACACACACACACAACCTAACGATGATGGCGCTAAATGTATGTTACGGATAAAAGTTTATAATTAGCCAGTAAGATACGTGAGTAATTCTGGTCATGTAACATTGTAAATACAAAACTTACGAATGTAATGTACGACGACGATACATTCGCAAATTCGATTCGAAATACCCAGTGGTAGCCTGCGAGATCTCATTTGATGACGATACATGTAAAGTGTAAAAAGAGAATAATGACGGGAAGGAATTGAATTCATGAGGTGTGCAATTTTACGAGATTGCACGGTGCATCGATGGAGTGGTGAAATGAGAGACGATAATACAGAGACTACACCGAATATACATATTGTACATGTTCAATAAAAATTGCCGAAGCCGGTTTCAGAATCGGTGAACACGTGATGTTCTGAACACGATGTGCATATAATCTAATGAATATACAGTCGCATTTACAGGTTTTTTACGTTTGTACCGTATTTATATGCTGTACGACGCTGCACTCGACCTTTATTTAAATAACGATAATTATTGTGTCATCAAATAAATCACATAAAACTTTACACCGTTCAGTTTAATTCAATATTTTGGCTCTTTTTAACCAGTTCATTTTGCCCGTTTTATGGAATGATCTTAAGTACATATGATCCCGCGCGTGTATTTCAACCACAAATAAATTTATTTGTACGGGACCATTTAAATTAAAGATACAAGACAAACTCCTCGTTTATTTATAAATTTTATTTAAATCAGAGGTATACATATTTCATTCGTTTATAAATATTACGTAATAAGCACTGAGTAATGTGAGTAAAATTAGGCTTGATTCTTATTTGATGAAATTCATCGAAAGGATGCGCCGTAAGAAAGTATGTCAATTATTCGATTTAAAATATGATTGATTCCCAGAGATTAAAATTGTTCCATAAACTGTAGGCTACCGATGATCTAAAATAACATTGGAAGCATACTTTTTACTCTTTATACAATATTCTATGACTGCGTAAATAGTGAGCAATCTCCTATCCATGGCGTTTAAATGTGCTTCTGTAATGAGGGGTTGAACGTCAGCCATTAACGATTCGTGAGCGACGAGCCTCGCGAGAACTATGCTCAAAGAGCCGCCACTAAACAACTTTAAACGATCCCATGTAGATTTATGAATCCTGAAGGTGTTAACGAAAACCATAAATTCTAGTGATGATATTGAAAATATTTTATTTATACGGGTACTCACATGCAACATTGATATAAAGGAGCTAGGATGTCAAAATGATCAACATCCGGGTTTCCGAGACTTTTCCCATTATCGATTAAAAGAACAGCTGGATTGTGAAAATTATTTTGCGCTAATTCGTAATGATGACGGTCACCGTTGTCCATTAAAAAGTCGAAAATCGCTGTGTCCACTAGATCTAAGAGTCTACTCGACGATTGCGGAGAATACGCTTTAGAATCTTTTACCTAAGAATCAATTATATACACCGTTATCGTGAAAAGTGACGAAAACTTTATATTTATATGTATCAAACGTACTTTCTCACAATAATTTTCGTCTGTCTCCCAACCGGCAAGTTTGTTCTTCTTGTAAGTCCTCTGCCACGGATGACGATGCTTGACAAGTCTTAAGTATCGCGGTAACCAGGAAATTAGAGCACCTTCCAAGATGTTCCCGTCCCCGCACACTGGATCCGCAGGAGAACAATAATGACAAACGCCGTACAAACAAGTATCATTACCGTCTTGATACATAGTGGAGTAAAGTTCGGGAGTCGCGCATGGTCGTACTTCGTTCCTTAAATCGACTGCAACAATAGAACGCAAAAATGCGCATATAATAATTTGTCAAAAATTTTAAGAAAATATTATGGAGAACAATATTCTAATGAGGCGTACATTTCCTTATAACGGTAAGCGGTACTCTTCTCAAGGCCAGTAAGGAAGATAAATGGAATGCTACTACTTCGGCGTTATGCCGATCTTTTCCATGATATACAGGCCCTCGGATAATTGCATCTCTAGAATACCACTGCGGCTTAAACATTGCTTTCGTTCCGTGTTCCAAAGTTAACATCAATTTCAGTTGCGTACCAAATGGTGCGTTATCCGCGCGCATTACTTTCGATTTGCGCAAGATGTCTAGAATCGTTCCTAATTCAGGCGCAACCGGTGGTATTAATTGGTGAGCATCAGGCCACTGGAAGTATGATACTTAATATCCAACAATAATAATCCTTCGAAGTGAGAACACTGTCGTTTTACGATACTAACGTTGTTGTTAGGAATACTCCATATATTTTTTTGAACGTTAGGCATTATTCTTAATTCGGCTAATAAGCGTTCGAGTACTATCGTGTAGCTAGTGTTTTGTTTGAAATATCGCGATGGCAATATTTGTATCTCTTCTTTGATTTTCTTTACCATATCTTTTGCAACTGATTTTTGCGAAACTAGCAAGTTCTGCTCCGCTTGGATTACTAACTGTTCCTGTTCTGGTTTCAATTGCGAGACGGGCATGCCTTTAGAGGAAGTTTTCTGCGACGAACTCTCCACGATCATTCGAATAAAATATACGTTGACGCTAAGAACGAGAATCAAAAGTCCGCTCAATGCGATGAGAGCGCAGCGTCGGCCAATCATCTGTGAACAAAATCGGACCCTTCGATCGAACACGTGTGAAGCAGATGGCGCGCGACCACTATTTTCTTCGACGCACACACATATAGCACAACTGTGAAGCTTACGTCATTTTCATTCTTCACGAATATTTTCTTGGTCAAATTTCCTACCATGCAATACAACAAATAGATAAAAAAGAAAAACAGCTGCCCGCAAAAATTAGGCCGATTGTTACATGATCGACGTTATCAAATGATCAGATCCTGACAGTACATGACAAGTATTAACATTGTAACGTAGCATTGTTGCCGTAAAAGCGCACGTTAGTTAAATGTAAACAGTATTGAAATATCGATTTTTAAGAAAAACATCTATCGACATCACCTTAGAAAATTGGCCACGCGGTCGTTGTCACCTGGTAATAAATATTTCTCTCATGTTTCGGCGAAGTCTCCGCTTAGATGCATCCAACTAGGACGAGGCGGCAGGTATCCGCCGCCATTTTTAACTCCTATCGTACTCGAGCGCCGTAAGGCTTTAGACAATTATCGCCGTCGTGTCTCCGATAAAATTTGGCATGGAACAGTTTCAAAGATAACAACTACAAACGTTAATTCGTATTTTGCAAAATAAACGCATCCGTATATTCTTTTAAATACCTCGTACATTATTTGTATCACACATCTACGAGTAACTCGTATTACACATACACGCAAGACATAGATTGCAATCACTGAGCGAAAATTATAATGAGGAATTTATTTTATAAAAACATGTAAACTACATAGTGAATATAATGAAATTAAATTTAGGCTACTACCCCTTGAAGGAGTTAGTCCCCTTAAAACGTGGTGGTGTTCGAATGGCTCGGCTCTAAATCATTTTTTATCTCTATAGTTACACTCGTACAAACATTTATGTCGATATATACATATTGGCGTGTACATTTATTCCCTTCGTTGTCTCTCCCTTTCCCGAGCAAGTTCTGTGGCGTAATCATAAGGCGAGCTTCTCCTGCGATTAATACGAAGTTAGAACTTTATGACTGGCGATACGTTCGGATAAGGACGCGCTTACTTATCCCGGTGACGATCCTTGTCACGGTAACGATCTCTACTTCTTTCTCTGTGCGACCTGTCTCTGCTCCGACTTCTATACTCTCTCTGCCTGCGACTTCGATCGCGGCTATTCGATCGTTTGCAATGTCGGTCCCTTTCTCGGTCTCTTTCCCGGGCACGTTCTCGTTCCCTTTCCCTGATACGATCGCGCTCACGTTCACGGTCTCTGTACTTGTCCTTACGATCCTCATCAGATCTAGAAAAAAAGCATTATTCGAAGGGAAGTAACGTTAAATAATTTTAACTAATTCAATATTATCGACCTGTGCAGGTACATACATATGATGCGCTTATTTGTAATAAGAGATATCAGGAATTAGCAATTTTAAACATCTCGATATTATATAGTTTTGTACAGTTTTTAGTTATTAAAAGATTCCGCTTTCCTTGATATCCAGTATGAACAAACTATCATCGTACGGTTATCACAAATATGGAGACGACTTATACATGTAGCTATTATGAAAAGTTTAATAAAAATTACAGTCGAAGTTTAAATATAAATATGAAAAGACTAGTTTATGGCAATAACTGAATTTGTAAGACGAGCAAGTAACTGTGTAAGAAGATAAGAACATGTACTAAAGAAAACTGAATGGTGATTCACTGAATTTTGCTGGTGACGGTAGGTCTTTAATCTTGATCAAACTCTTCTCTAACAAGTTCATAGAATATTATTAAACTTATATAAATTAGTAACGTGATTGTATTCATACCACGTAGACGCACCTGGCTCGCCAGTGACTCGTTCTTTCGGCCTCACCCCATTGAGCTTCACTGTCTGGGATATGTCGTGGTTGATTACGTGAGGTAAGGTTGCCGTTATCTTTTCTACTGCTGCTGTTACTATATTTCCCATGGCTATTCAGCGTGATAGGTGGTTTCGCGTTACGGGCGTTCATAGACTGCTGAGGGAATCTTTCTGCTAATCGATGTTCAAGTTCTTTTTGTATAGGCACTGGTATTCTTGGAAATAACGTTGAAAACCACTCTAATTTAGTAAGAAATTGTTTGAGAATATCACCCATTTTCATTACTTGTCCTCCTCCAGCTTTTACATCTAATTCTTCTTCATCTTCTAAATAATCGCTATACCAACTAAATAGATCAGCTGGCGGTTGTGTGTATCTGTTAATAATACGATATTTAACACACTGTTGTTCTATCGCATAGTAATAGTACATTCATATTTTTACCTAATATACATGAAGCCTAATGCCCGAATGTATGGCGAATCAGGATGATTAATAAGACCATTTAATTGTTTCCGTGTTAGCCTCAGGGTGAAAAGTTTATACAGTAGACAATAAGCTGTAGACACGATCCCACCAGCGCCGACTCCACGGACCTGCATGAACCGCTAAATTTACACCCCCTATGTCAGTTAATCACATTCATATTATATTATAATATATTGACCGAGAACATGCTACTCTGCAATTAAGTGTGGTGTTAAGTGAGACTGTCTGCGTAACGTCTGAATTCAGACTGGTTCGAGGCCAATATTTTCCTATTGCCTGTTTATACAGTATAGCAGTGAAAGTCTAACAGAATTAGAACTCTCACTTTATACAATTTGCTTTATGCTTTTTCACCTTTTGTACTTTTTTTGGCAGTTCTCATTTCATAGAGTGCCCAGGTCCTCTAAAATGCTATGAATTTTGACTATTTCTGTGCGTACAATAACAACTCTGTGATTTCCTTAAGTTTAGAGCAATAAATAACAGTTAACAGTGTATTAGAAAACATACTCACGCCTCCACACATGCCAGTCTGGCCTGCTGTTTTTCTGCTTCCCTTTTCCCATGGTTCCAAGTGAGATACTTTATAATAAATCTCATCAATAACCTCATGGTAAGTTTTTAATTCATATAAGTTCACTTTAAAATAATGAGACGACTGTATGTTCGTTAAAATCAGTGGATTTAAGTTCATAGTCCTTTCGTTACCCCATAAGGGCAGTATATTTGATTTTTTACCCTCCTTTTGTACTGGCCGACGTTCTTCGTCGCAACCACTGGAATTGTTCCATGGCGAACCTGTAAAAATTGTTCAAGTCTTCAAGCATAACACTAGCAGAGGTTAAGTGTCCTACATTGATTGTAAAGGCCTACGCTATGTCGTACCTATTTAATACATGTTATAAATAAAATACAAACAATGAAACGCATGAAATAATTAGTATATATTTACATACCGTCAGCTCCTTCCGTTTCTTGCATCTTTCTATTTAGCGTAAACCTGTAAGTCTCGCGAAGACGAGATTCAATAGGTCCGTCGCACCATATACACTTTTCACTTAAAAAAAAAGTTTATGAAGTTAACGAGTACAAGGAAAACAGGCAACGATATTTGTACACACGGGACAATTGGACACAAGTTCTAAAACCTCGAATATCGTTTTTTATGCAAGTATATAGAAACCTGACGTCAACGTCAACGGGAAGCGAAAGACACAATAGACTAAGGAATACGCATGTGTAAAAAATGTATACATCCGGTTTCGTTCACATTTACGCTCATTATTTCATCAAACATAACGAATTTAAGACTAGAATAATGGATATTTAAAAATTAAGTTCTTTATAAATCGTGTTCTCCTTAAATTCAACAAGCAAGAATTTAAGATGCTATATGAATTCATACCTCGATACGATTTGAATTACACATGCATGAATTACACAAAATGCATAATAGAATCTTCAATCATTAGTTCACTAATAAACTATTGCTTATAATTAACAATTCACATTTTCCATGTCTCAGTGTGAAAAATGAATAAATGATTTAAACATTATAATGTTGCTATTAAAATAACAAATGCAGAACACTTTCCCTAGAACAGTATTCCTTAGACCGGATTCCTTCCTTTATCCTTCGTAATCCACAGTGGATGTACTAATACAAATTCAACAAGTAAAACGTGTAACAATTTTACTTTCTCAAATTGAAGATGTATTTTATTTCTAAATATGTATCATATGAGTAGGAAATATTTTACAATTTGAATAAAGTGTAATTCACACGGTTTATCGTCTGCAACGCTGAGCTCTTCTGGTACTCTTCGGGCTCGTAGGTTGCAAAGGAAATGCTGTTCAATACCCCCATATTATAGTAACTTTCTGCAACTGAGCCAGCAGTTATCTCATTTCACTTTGCGTTACCGGTAAGGAAAGACGTACGTTTTGTGAGAGTAGTGAACAATTATTTGCTCGATGATAATTGAATTAGATCAAAGTACCCATCAGTGCCTAATATCGGTGAATTTTCAAATGTTTCAGGCAAATCACTATTAAACTGGCTTCGTAATACGCGTTTATTACTTGGCCGGATTTCTTTATTACGGTAGAGTAAGTATTATTTCTCGCGATACGTCGTGACTGCCCATACAAATTTCTCTCTCTCTCTCTCTCTCTCTCTCAACGTTCTTCGTCGCAACCACTGGAATTGTTCCATGGCGAACCTGTAAAAATTGTTCAAGTCTTCAAGCATAACACTAGCAGAGGTTAAGTGTCCTACATTGATTGTAAAGGCCTACGCTATGTCGTACCTATTTAATACATGTTATAAATAAAATACAAACAATGAAACGCATGAAATAATTAGTATATATTTACATACCGTCAGCTCCTTCCGTTTCTTGCATCTTTCTATTTAGCGTAAACCTGTAAGTCTCGCGAAGACGAGATTCAATAGGTCCGTCGCACCATATACACTTTTCACTTAAAAAAAAAGTTTATGAAGTTAACGAGTACAAGGAAAACAGGCAACGATATTTGTACACACGGGACAATTGGACACAAGTTCTAAAACCTCGAATATCGTTTTTTATGCAAGTATATAGAAACCTGACGTCAACGTCAACGGGAAGCGAAAGACACAATAGACTAAGGAATACGCATGTGTAAAAAATGTATACATCCGGTTTCGTTCACATTTACGCTCATTATTTCATCAAACATAACGAATTTAAGACTAGAATAATGGATATTTAAAAATTAAGTTCTTTATAAATCGTGTTCTCCTTAAATTCAACAAGCAAGAATTTAAGATGCTATATGAATTCATACCTCGATACGATTTGAATTACACATGCATGAATTACACAAAATGCATAATAGAATCTTCAATCATTAGTTCACTAATAAACTATTGCTTATAATTAACAATTCACATTTTCCATGTCTCAGTGTGAAAAATGAATAAATGATTTAAACATTATAATGTTGCTATTAAAATAACAAATGCAGAACACTTTCCCTAGAACAGTATTCCTTAGACCGGATTCCTTCCTTTATCCTTCGTAATCCACAGTGGATGCACTAATACAAATTCAACAAGTAAAACGTGTAACAATTTTACTTTCTCAAATTGAAGATGTATTTTATTTCTAAATATGTATCATATGAGTAGGAAATATTTTACAATTTGAATAAAGTGTAATTCACACGGTTTATCGTCTGCAACGCTGAGCTCTTCTGGTACTCTTCGGGCTCGTAGGTTGCAAAGGAAATGCTGTTCAATACCCCCATATTATAGTAACTTTCTGCAACTGAGCCAGCAGTTATCTCATTTCACTTTGCGTTACCGGTAAGGAAAGACGTACGTTTTGTGAGAGTAGTGAACAATTATTTGCTCGATGATAATTGAATTAGATCAAAGTACCCATCAGTGCCTAATATCGGTGAATTTTCAAATGTTTCAGGCAAATCACTATTAAACTGGCTTCGTAATACGCGTTTATTACTTGGCCGGATTTCTTTATTACGGTAGAGTAAGTATTATTTCTCGCGATACGTCGTGACTGCCCATACAAATTTCTCTCTCTCTCTCTCTCTCTCTCTCTCTCTCCGTTTCTCTTCTTTTGTCTCTCCCATTGCATTTCGTCCTCCTCTCTCTTTCTCTGTCTTTCTCCCTTTCTCTCTTTGGCATGTAACGGCACTTGCCTTTAGATTACCAGCTTCTTATTTCGATGTGGAAATAAACGAGCACTATTTTTGATCCGTACAACGTTCATACATTCATTTCGGAAGAGGTTAGCGATCTTGTGACGTGTCAAGTGAACACTTCATTCCATATGGTGGTCACAAGCTCAACCAGTCTGTGGTCATTGACATGCTGGCATTTAACTTGAATCTCTTTTACCATTTCTCGTTTATCCTTAGAATCGTAAGAATTCCCGTTCCTGCTCGACGATTCCAACTACTTGCATGCAACAGGAAACCAGTAGTTCAGTCATTCATATGAACGGAATTTATTAAAGAGAATGTTAAAGACAGACATACTTAACATGCTCCAAATACCTATGGATGTTCCTCGTTCTTTTCGTTACATTTCATTCAGAACTTTTTTTGTTCCGTTCGTATTTATAATATTTTCCTCTTATTAAAACTAATTGGTAAAATGATATATTTTAATAAAATATGCTCATATATGCTTGATTTCACTTAAAACATAATAAATGTACATGTTAATATTTCAAATAAATTTAATAATAAAGCAGATGCAATTTGTACTGTATAAGTCCTCTGATTCACTGGATTTTTTGTTAGATGCAATCATGAAAGAATATTTGTAATTTTTTATTATAGTGCTACTGTAAGGACTTGGCACGAAACAGGACAACCCCATCATGCAGCAGCAGTCAGTAATGGAAGAGGGAACGGCCTACGAGCCACCTACCTATGATGAGACATTCCCAGTTCTTCCGGAATCAGCCAGTTCAAGTTCGGGAAAATTAAATATTTTCTCTATAAATAATAACTTACAACTTGGACGTATAACTATCACACAGGTACACGAGCTCACAAGCTTCTGGTACACATGTTCATACATACTTTTAATACTTATGTATGTCATCTTTTATTCTTGGATATTCAGATGTTTCGTGTACCTGGAGAGGAACGCAAATTTGATCACAGCGACAAGTTTGGCGAACGTGAATCCATACGTACATGCAAAACAATAATGAAGGAGACAAATACTATCATTGAAATAGCAACATCGAAAGATCAGTCTTTAACATTCCTAATAACTGGTAAACAAAATCAGGTGTTGGAAGCAAAGCGTCGAATTTTAACAACGTTTCAAACTCAGGTCCCGTATTCTGAGATAAATTTAATGTCACAGCCGAAGTAAGACACGTTCTCTGACACTTAATTTGTCATTGCAGGCGAGTAAACAGATTAGCATTCCTAAGGATCATCATCGTTGGATTCTCGGAAAACAAGGGCAGCGTCTAAAAGACTTAGAAAAGACGACTGCGACAAAGATAAATGTTCCATCTGTGCAAGATCAATCTGATATAATAACTATCACAGGAACTAAAGAGGGAATCGAAAAGGCTGAGCACGAGATTAGAGTGATTTCAGATGAACAGGTACGTGTACATGGACATAATTTTAATTAAGCCACACTGCATTGGAAACGTAACGTACAATTATTCGTTTCAGTCGAGGAAAGCGTTTGAAAGAATATCTGTGCCAAAAATATATCACCCTTTTATACATGGTGCACACAATGAGAATCTCAATGCTATGATGGCAGAGACTGGTGCTCGTATTAATATTCCCCCTGCCTCTGTGCAAGAAGATGAAATAACCATTGCTGGTGAAAAGGAAGGTGTCTTAGCTGCAAAGCAGAAGATTGAAGCTATTTACAGAGACATGGTATGTAAATAATTGAATGAAGTATTATCGCCAGTTGAAGATATTAATTATATAAGCGTCTCAAAGATAAGCATTTCTGATATAGGAAAAGAGATGTACGACGGTATCGGTTGAAGTGCCGAAGTCTCAGCACAAATATGTTGTCGGTCCGCGTGGTAGCACGATAGCGGAGATATTACAAGTAACTGGAGTAAGCGTAGAAATGCCTGCGCCAGACTCTCCTACAGGAACTATCACTCTGCGTGGTCCCCAAGAAAAACTTGGCCAAGGTAATCTTTCACTTGACGATTCAAATGATTTGATGCAACGCACATATACATTAAAGTAATGTTATTATTAATTTTGTTTTATAGCACTGAGTAAAGTGTATGAGAAAGCGAACAGCGTTCGTACGGCTGTGGTGAAAGCACCTGTTTGGATACACAAGTATATAATAGGAAGAAAAGGTGTCAATATTAAACGTATCACGCAAGAAATGCCAAAAGTGAACGTAGAGTTCACTGGTAAAGAAGATCAAATCAAGATCGAAGGTCCTCCTGAAGAAGTAGAGAAAGCACAAAACGAACTTCAACTAATGGCTACTGATCTTATATCTAAACTCACTTTTGCGGAGTTAAATGTTGACCCCAGATTTTACAAACACATTATAGGAAAGAACGGATGTAATGGTAAGCTTAGTATCATTGTACTAATATCATTTTATATATCAAATGTTGTTTGTTCCAGTAAATCGTGTAAAGGAAGGGACAGGTGTTGTAATTAATATTTCCGAGAATGATGGCAATAATATAATACGCATTGAAGGGAACCTCGCTGGTGTACTCAAGGCTCAAACGGTTTGTAATATTGATTCTACTATATACCTATGTGTATATGTTACATAGTTGTGAATTTCGTGGTTTAACACGTGAAATTATTACAGGAATTAGTTGAAATGGTGAGAAAGTTGGAGAATGAGAAAGAGAAAGATGTGAAAATAGATCATCGTTATTATCCAAGTATTATCGGGAATAAAGGAGATAATATTAAAGAAATTAGAGATAAGTTTAACCAAGTACAGATTACTATTCCTGGTCCAGGTATGTAGCATGATATATCCACTAACTAGAACTGGGATTTATGCCAGATACAAACATTCAATAGACCTCAGCCCTTGTTGGCATTTCGCCAAGGAGAGCTCGGTGCGCATTTTTAGAGTATAGGTCATATTTATCATCTTGAATTGTAATGTATTCCTTGTGGCGTCGCTAGCTTCTTGAAAACAGAGGGGTTCACGAATATTAGAAATGGTTTTATAACCGGCCTTTGCTTGCTGCGCAGCTGGTGTTCATCGAACTACGTTAGATTTCGATGTATCATCAAATAGCTAAAAACTATCCCTCCCATCTGCTTTCGTATCTTTCCATTACCACATGTTCGAAAAACAAATTTCACGGCATTAGACAGTTAGATGACCAGTTCAAAACTTAAAGTTAAATGTAGAATTGTTCCCACAAATTAAAACTTTTTCTCTTCATACATTTGACGCGTAACGGTTCGACAAGAGTACGAATTGCATGCCACTCCTTCGTATTGGTCCTTCGAGTTGAATCAAGCGAAAATTATCCGAAACTCTTATGTTTATATCAAGAATCGGATCAACCCTATGATGACATTAGATCGATCGAGAGAGTTTGAAGACTTCGGAAAATGAGTAATAAACAGCATTTTTCGAATAGAGTACGAATATTGCGCGCCCCTTCATTTTTATTTGTTACATCGTACAATGAAATAAACAGAAGAAAAGATACTAATTTTGCAAAGTTATTAACAATAAGATTTATTTACAGGTGAAAAGGGAGATACAGTTAAAATTAGGGGTCCTAAAGAAGATGTTGACAAGTGTCATAAGTATTTAATGAAACTAGTGAAGGAGTTGAATGAAAACAACCATGTTCTGGAAGTACCTATTTTCAAACAATTCCATAAATTTGTCATTGGTAAAGGCGGAGTCAACATTCGTAAGGTTGGTCCTAATTAATTTGATATCGATGAAATCAAAGATTTAAAAATAAATCACATATACGATTGTTTGCCTTTATTTCGCAATTTAGATTAGAGAAGAAACTCAAACTAAAATAGATTTACCAGCTGAAGGCGAGAAAAGCGATGTTATAACTATTACAGGCAAAGAAGAAAACGTGGAAAAAGCTAAAGAAATGATTCAAAAGATACAAAATGAACTGGTACTGGAAACGTATCCACGTATATCCATTATGAAAATGCAAAATTATTTTCATTGTGTATTAAGAAATATCTTTTCCTCAGGCCAATATTGTTACGGATGAGATAGTAATCCCACCGAAGTTCTATAATTCTCTTATTGGTACCGGCGGGAAATTGATCCATTCTATCATGGAAGATTGCGGCGGTGTTGCAATTAAGTTTCCCACCGCAGAGAGTCGAAGCGATAAGGTAAATTTATTAGAAGAGGAATTAAACAGACGTGTACATTAATATAAATACTTTATATATAGGTGACCATCAGGGGGCCGAAAGAAGATGTTGAAAAAGCGAAACAACAATTGCTTGAACTTACGAATGAGAAGCAATTGTCCAGTTACTCTGCTGAAGTACGTGCCAAAGTACAACATCACAAATTCCTCATTGGAAAGAATGGTGCCAACATTAAAAAGGTTTTTGTATAGAAATTATCAAGCACATCACGTATTACGTAATTTATTATTACCTGTCGATTACGGTTTGTTGTTTTGTATTAGATAAGAGAATCCACTGGGGCACGTATCATATTCCCGACAGACGAAGATCAAGATAAGGAAGTGATTACTATCATGGGTAGAAAAGAGGCCGTTGAAAAAGCTAAAACCGAATTGGAAGCTACGATCAGCGAGATCGTAAGAGTTTTTCTTATGTAACTATTTTAACATTTGTTTCGGATAAAAATTAAGCAACTTTTACGATGTCGTTGACAGGATAATATTACTGAAGGCGAAATCCGTATTGATCCGAAGCATCACAGACATTTCGTAGCCCGGAGAGGTGGCGTGTTGCATCGTATCGCTGACGACTGCGGCGGAGTACAAATTTCATTTCCAAGGGCCGGAGTCGACAGCGATCGGGTGATCTTAAAAGGGTCACACGAGTGTATAGAAGCTGCGAAACAACGAATGCGAGAAATTGTGCAGGAGCTGGTAAATTTATCAACTGTTAAATTCATTAGTTTCTCGTTTAAATTATTTCACTCATACATCACACGTGTAACTCCTGTTAGGAATCGATGGTAACGGAAGAATGCGTTATACCACAAAAGCACCATCGCACTGTAATGGGAGCAAAGGGACGGAAGGTGCAAATGATTACGTCCGAATTCGACGTACAGATTAAATTCCCCGATCGGGACATGTATGGTGAGTGACACAATGCGTATTACATTATAAATATAATAAGAAACATTTTTGTTCACTTGCCTATACATATTTTAGATGAACAGCGTGTCGCGGAACAGATGAACGGCGAGAACGGAGAAGTTAATGAAACAGTCTCGGCCTGCGACGTCATCCGCATTACCGGACAGCCTGACAATGTGGCAGCCGCGAAACAAGCCTTGCTTGATTTAGTACCGATTACAATAGAAGTAAATATTCCTAGCAAAATCTTCGACATTAGTAAGTTTCAGTAGTTAACATCTTTATTTAATTAAATGAATTGTGTTATCTTAGGTGGAGGTACCCTTCGATCTTCATCGTTCTATAATAGGCCAGAAGGGTCGTGATGTGCGAGAACTGATGAATACGTATGATGTTCATATCATGTTATCCCCGGCGGAAGAAAAACTTGATTACATTAAAGTACGTGGAATATAGTAGCACATTTGAATCAATGTGTAATGATATTGTAATGTAATGATATCAAGGAGTAACCTCATGTTTTATGCAGATTTCAGGAACACCTTCATGCGTTGAAAACGCCAAACAAGCTATTCTAGATAAATGCAAGGCGCTGGAAGCTGATCGACAAGACAGAGCTTTGAAATCCTTCGAATTAAAAGTAAGGAGATTTATATCTGTGAATTTGAATACAGTGGAACAACATATATGAGGAATTTTTTTTTAGATCGAAGTTGATCCAGAATATCATCCGAAAATAATTGGTCGAAAGGGAGCCGTAATTAATAAAATACGTAGTGATCACGATGTTCAAATTAACTTTCCACGTAAAGGCGACCCCGAGGAACATATAATTACAATCACTGGTTATGAGAAGAATGCATTAAGCGCGCGGGATGATATCATGAAGATTGTTAACGAACTGGTAAGTTTACTGTTTGAATAATTTAAGTAATTTTCTTATTGAAATACTGATACTTGATTACTGATGAATCACTTCTCACGTAATTAGAATGGTTTGACAAAAGAAGAAGTCCAAATAAACGCTACAGTTCATTCGCGGTTGATTGGTTCGAAAGGTAGAAATATTCGTAAAATAATGGACGAATTTAAAGTGGATATTAAATTCCCAAGAAAGACCGATCCTGATCCGAATATCGTAACAATCGTGGGTTCAGAAGAGAACGTAGCCGACGCGAAGGATCGTCTACTGAATTTAGAAGAAGAATATGTGAGTTAATTTAAAAAATGCTTTTAATCGAAATAAGTTAAATAATATTTCTTTAACGTGACGTGTGTTAATTTACAGATTCAAGACGTTTTAGAAAACGAATATCGTGAAAACTTACGTTCACCTCAACGCGACGAGAGAAATTCTGGTGCCTCTGGCTTTGTAGTGAAGGGTGGACCTTGGGAACAGCAACAACAAAGCGCTCCAAACACCGCCAGCGTCGAAGAATTTCCGCAATTCGCTGGATACTCCCACGTACCGGTGACCAATCCTGATGGTCCTTGGGGCGTGAAACGTTAATCCTTAGAGTAAAAAGATCGATGAAGCGTATAAGGTAACAATATAATGATAACTTTCCTCTGACAAACGATACAGAAGGGTACACACATTAGTGCTAGGTGGTTCCCTGTTCCATTACTGATGTTGCTGCATACGACCTGGCCACTCTATTGGACTCTGATACTGGTTTACTACATAACGTTTGACGATGGTGTTTATATTTACAGTTCATATACTAATTACCTATGTATCTGTAACTGTAACGCATGATTTTATGTTGATTGCCATGTTAGAAAATATTCACACACATACAGTCAGACGCAAATTGCGCGCAGTTTCAGTCGTAAAAAAAGAAAAACAAAACGGAACACGCTCGGTTCCCCTCGACACCTTTTTTTATTTCTGCTGATATGCCTTTCAGGTACAGATATGTTGTACTTAAGACTGTGGCTTCGTAGGAACTAATTTTTTGTGTATATTATATATTTTTCTCCGATTGTCTCTCCGTATAGATTGCGTGGCTGAACGCGTTTCGCGTTTGATCGTGCATAATATTTTGTTAATTTATTTATATTTTTTGTACATATAAATTGCATTTTTTGTTGTGTTGAACTTAAGTAGAATTGTTTCTGAACCATATTACCGATGATGATGAAGATGATGATGATGATGATGAAGATGATGATGATGATGATGATGATATTAGAGTCTATAAAAATTTTTTGCGAAACGTGAAGCTTTAAGGTCTTTCTAAGGAAAACGTTCCTAGATATATAATTTCCTGCTTTTTTATATAAGTAGTCTAATCAAATAAGACCGCTTTATACTCTTGAAATTACAGTGCGTTACACAGTGGACGAATCTGCCAATAAAACCTAAATAATCATGTGTACATTATTAAATATTACGCCGGGTTTGAGAAAAGCAGAAGTGTTAGTGACCATTATAATATATATTGCGGGGAACATAATCTTTAGAAGGCCTTGCAATTCTTTCTCCTGCTTTTACGCGGTAATCAAAGACGAGACATGAGATCATTGGCAATTGTTTAATTGAAAAATAAAATGTGAACCACATTTATATTTGTAATGTACAGTGATATCGTCGTATTCTTTAAATAGCCAATTTTATTTATATCCTTTATATTTTACTGTTTGCTGTATGATGTGCAAATTTTTGCATTCTACTATTTATGAGGCCAACTAGCTAAGAAAAAGATATTCGGTTCAAGTGCCTTGTCTATTTTCTTCAAGACAGCTCATTTCAATTGTTGGAGGAATGTGAATATTAGATTATACATAATGATATATGAACATATATATATATATAAATGTATACATTATATAAATATTGATAATAATGACATTATTATTACAATACGCATAATCGATATGATAGGTATTGTACTGCAGGTACAATGATATACTACTACTATTCACAAATAAAATAATAGAAGCTATCATGTATACAGAAATTCACCTATATTTTTTAGATTTACAGTAATTTTTATAAAACTACTTGGTACGACGACGACTTATGTCATTTCCAATGCATGGTTTATACAAGACGCCAGAATTAGCAATTTTAACGTGCTTAATTTGGCTAAAAGAATTTGATAGATGCTGTGCATGAATGTACCTTTTCTAATGAATTATAAATACAAGATAATTGTAATTATATAAAATAATATTCTCTGTACACACATAATGTCATAATACGATGAATTCTATTATATTGTAACAATATATATATTCTATATATATTGTAACAATATATATATATATATATATAATTAATCTATTATTGTTAAACCAGTGTTATTTATTCCTTTTATCATTAAGTATAAGGTATTTAAATACATTTTAGAACAATAAGAGCACATCGTCGTTTAATATCTTTATTGCAATAGAGATGACAGCGATAACGTTTTCAATTGCTGTACAAACCCTTCGTTTGGTTTGATGCAATTTCTTATCATTTTTACTCTATCATGAGCATCATCGTATTTTATATTTTCAAGAGCCATCAAGTAAGATATAACAATCGCTGATGAACGGGACACACCTGCGTTACAATGTACCAAAATATTCTCATCGCGATTTTCGTGTATGATTCTAACACACTTTTTAACAACCGCAAGCAAGTTAGACTCGGGTAGGTCTAGTAAGTCACAATAATAGTATTTGATAAAATCATACTTTATTGGCGCGTCAATACCAACACTTAAAATATGACGAATCTCGTATTGTTGTAAAAGTTCTTTATGTACGACAGGATCTTGCGAGCTTAGGAATAGTCCTGGAATTATACGTGCGACCTGTAAATCAGGTTTATTATCTACTACGAAGGGTGTCCCAGGAGCTAATACTTTTTTTTCTCCGTTAGCTTCTTCGTATCTTTGACCGAGCGTATCAGTCACAATGGTTTTACAACTTTTCAAGTGTAATTTTCTATTTTTTATTCGACTGTTCAGATCCATCTTTGATACAATATTTCAAAGAAAGAGAAAATAAATTTGATCCGACTAAAACAAATACTAAATACGCGTTACACTAAATTCGTATCTAGTGGTATGACCGTATGTTCGCCGTACAGTTTGTATTTTATAATATATTCTTCTATCTCTTCTTGACAATATTTGACATCTGCTAAAAATAAACCTTGCGCAGGAGCTAGACGTAAATAAGGAAGCCAATTATGATGGCCAGGAACATGTAACATTATATATATATCTCGTTCTGTTATTACGCCCGAGCCTAAGGCAATTAAAGAACTTACTATTCGTCTGACCTATAAAAAATTGATTTAAAAATAATATATAAAATTAGTTGATAGAGAAAATGGCGTCTTGTTAAGCATACCTGTTTATATAGAAAACCCTGTGCTGAACATACTATATTCCAATATTCAAAGTTTTTACACAAGGGATCATATGGCATGAATGGGTGACCTTCTTCTAGAGTTAACGTGTCTAATTCCCTTACATATTTAATTGGTTTAATTGAAATACTTTTGGAACTAAACGTTCTAAAATCTTTTGTTCCCATAAACATTTGTGTCGCACGTTTTATTCTCTCAGTATCAAAAACTGTTGGCCTTTAAGAGATGCATACAATAATTATAATAATTCAACACAGTATACAATAAAGCGGATTACATGTTGTTCTGATACGATACCTGATATGATTACAATACTGCACTTCTGATACAGGAATTCTATGATCGTTTAAATCCTTAGCCCTTAAAATTCTGTAAATATATTTCCTGGATTTTGCAAGTCGCCTTGAATTAAAGTCATTTGTCACAGGAACGAATTCTAGTATCCTGAAAACAATGTATTCATAATGTAATCAAGTTAAAAAGTAATTATAAATGTAAATACATTTAATTACCTAATATTATGATTGCTCTGATTAAAAAATCGGTTTACACTACTGAGAGCGTAAGTGGGTTCATAAAAACAATCATCGATATTTTCTATGTCAATATGAGCTGCATTAGATAAGCCATGCACACCGCAATCTGTCCTATAAATTTCATTTTATTCAAAATATACCTAAAATATTTTAGCATTGTTAATCATACTATAAAACAATTGAAGGTATTCACCTGCTAGAAGAGCTAAATTTTGGCCATTTTATACATTTAGGAATCAAGGTTGAAAACGCAGCTTCGATAGCTCCTTGAATTGTATCTGTGTCAAGCATTAGAACATTTTGAGTCGGAATTGCATTCTTTTGCAAGCCTCTAAACATACACGAAAAACAAATTTTAGAAACACGACTTGTCGACTCAGAATTAACACGCTGTTGAACAGAAATAATTTAGATTCTAAATTTTGTTCTTTGCATTGTACGTGACACGAGCGAATGTATATGTTTCTCTTTACAGAAACAATAAAAAATTACGAGATCAGTAAACAGGTTAACTGAAAGCACGTGTACCTGTAGTTCGTGCCTAGATAGGAAAATTTTATGAAATATCTCCTCATCTTTTCCTGGTTCAGAAAATGTGTCGCTAATTGTTCAATCTGCAAACAGCTGTAATTAATAACTATATTTTCAAGTGATGAACTTTAGTCGAAGTAAGTGATTACAGCAAACTGCAACTTAGCGGCACCAGCGGCCACACCGTGTGAGCGTGTGATTGTAATGGCACACCCTGTATA